ATTTGATGACCGAGCAAGTAGGAAGAACCGTCAAAGTTGAGGCCTCTGGGACATAAAAGATTTCACTTGAACTGTTAAAAAAAAAAAGCGTTATCGGGAGCAATCTGTTGTCCTAAGAAACTAGGGAAGGAAGGTTACTCAGAATTGCTCAGGGGAAAGGGAAATTTACATCAGTTTCCGTTCTTCAACGCCCTTGTCAAGAACATAAATGGAAAATGCCGAATGAACATTAAGAAAGTAGAGCAGGCAAAAGAGCTGTTTAGAGTAGGACAAGTGCTGTTTAGAACTGGAAGAGCTGTTTGAGCTTCCAGAGCGGACGTGGAGGCCCATAAATATTAAAAACGTTATGAGATGCTGCTTTTCTCTGCTGATTTTAGAGGACCTTATTCCTGGTTCCCATGTAAATATGAAGGAAGTGAATCAGGGGTGTACAAGTGTGTCCTGAAAATGCCAAGTTGGTATCTTGTGATCTAACATGTGTGGTGACGAGCCCTCAAGCTCAAGAGCCCAATATCCTCTTGAACTCAAACTCAACGACCTCCTCCTCCTCCTCCCCCTCCCTCCTTCCAATCTCAGCTGAAATTTTCCTCTCACGCAGCCCTGAAACTTAAGTGTTTAACCAACCTCTCTTTAACCTGCATCCCAAAGCTCAATATTCAATGGGATGTTCCGTTTTTAAATACTTATACCAAAATTCAATCACGAGAAAAAACAAAGGAAGAGTTAAAAATTGGCAGAGTAGAAGATCTCCGCACCACCTGTTAACATCATTACAAGTGCACTAGTGCAAGTATCTGTACACAGGCACAGTCTCAAATACAGTTTAATAAAGATGACTCCAACGCAACTATGTCAACAAGTTATCAATGTGCTAACAGCCATAAGGCATAACTCATCTAATATTTGTTTTCGCACTTACTACTGGTGAACTAGCAACATTTGAGTTCAAGTATAGTATTATCCTCTCAACTTGGGCGCGCTTACTTCTAGTGGCACAGCTTTATTCAGTATACGAGTGTAATGTGAAGTTATTCGCGCTTTGTAACATCTCAGTCACCTACCAAATATTAACGCGACAAATATGAACATAAGAGTAACACACAAGACGCAGCCAACATTACATAAAGAAAACCAACAGGTGGTGCATTTCAGTCTCAATGTTAACATAAAATATTGAAAAGGAAATGCGTTTCTCTTTCCTTGTGTGTGTGTGGACGGAGAGGTTGGAAGCAAAAGCTGAATCACTAGGCAGACCAGCGACTTTACAGTAACTATTTTGTGGTAAAGTGAGACTTGGGAAACTGGAACGACTACGCCCTCCTCATCCACCAGCAGTATTATAGAGTATTTCATGTCAAGCAGGAAAAGTTTTACACATGTCTGGTTCAGAGCAAATTGAGTAAAAAACACATACCTGACTGTCTGGAGCGTTCTTACTGTTGTTTGTTTACACAAGAATATTCCTGGTACGATTCAGTATTCACGTATATATAAAGAATTATTTGGGAAGGCTAGACCCTTTCCCCACCCAACCTCAACAGATTCTAGTTAGTCTCAGTGTACAGATCACTTCTTTATAGGTGTCCCGTGGCTTGGTTGGAAACGCTCTAGCCTCACACACAGTATCCATGGTTCGAGCCCCGAAACGGGTGGAAATGTTTGGGTCCTTATACCTGAAGGACCCCAATGGAAATACAGTCTTCGATGACGCACTAACTTTCTTGCGTTATCCTGGTTGGCTAATCTTCCCCGGGTTAAAAATCAGAACAAATCTTATGGCTCAGGAGTTACTTTCACGGCCCGAGCGAGGTGTAAACAGCAGCTTTCATCTGGATAGATTATCGTAAGGAAGCGTGATAAGCCCGTAGGGATTATACAGCGCCCGTGGTGGGGGGGGGATTACCTGGAGTTTCGGGGGTCAACGCCCCCGCGGCTCGGTCTGAGACCAGGCCTCATGGTGGATCAGGGTCTGATCAACCACTTATTGTTGGCCGCACGCAAGCTGACGTACGAACCACAGCCCGGTTGTTCAGGTACTGACTTTAGGTGCCTGTCCAGTGCCTTCTTAAAGACAGCCAGGGGTCTATTGGTAATCCCCCTTATGTATGCTGAAAGGCATCTGAACAGTCTTGGGCCCCGGACACTTATTGTGTTCTCTCAATATACTTGTGGCGCCCCTGCTTTTCATCGGGGGAATGTTGCATCTACCGAGTCTTTTGCTTTCACAGGGAGTGATTTTCGTGTGCAGGTTTGGTACCAATCCCTCCAGGACCTTCCAAGTGTATATTATCATGCATCTCTCTCGCCTGCATTCAGGCAAGTGGAGCACAATCCAATTCCCTAGATCAAGAGCCCCTCACCAGCATCAAGAAACCTCCCTTGAAGACTCATCTGGAAAAAAATTTGTGAAGCAACTGTGAAGCAATAATGCCTTCATTAATTTTTTATCAGAACTACCGTAGTCAAGACAACACTGTACTAATTAAAGTAAATGGTTAACGAAAATTACACTAAATTACATTACTGCTGTGAGAGTTAATGTGCGTGTATACTGGAGAGAGGAAAGCTGCTAACCCACCAGTGACACTAATCTATTGCACTTGTCAATTTCCCAAAACCCACGTTGTGGCTAACATTTTAACACCATAAAGCGTCACTTGCTGCTTGCTTGCATATACACTAAGCGTGCGAGCAGATGGTGGTCGCTGCTGCTCTTGTTCCTCACAAAGCCACTACCTACCAATACCAAAAATAATGCCAAGAAATCTTCGACTTCTGCTTAAGGAGGCACTACACACTGTTCATTGCAGACGAAGTATCTAGCAGTAACAATGATTGCCAATAAAAATCAGTAAAGAATCGGTGAATGTCTATCAAATAAAACACATTAGCGTTAACAGAATATCGTGCAAGAAGTGTGACGAGGTTTGCTTTGGTAACACAAGTAGGGCCGTGAAAATCGTGTGTAGGAAATATAAAATGTAGATTAAATATCGAGAGAATAGTAGTTTTACTTAAACATGAGGAAAATGAATCATCACGTTCCCTGGGAGAATTCTAAGATTCTTTACAACAAAACAATATATAACTTGAAGAACAAACATTGCTTTTCTAACAACGAAGAACAGTCTGAACAATACAAAATTCATCTAATTTATTGGTAAATAATAATTAAATCAGGGCTGACCTTACATACCATATTTATATATATATATTATATATATATATATATATTTATTATATAATATATATATAATATATATATATAATTATATATATATATCATATATACATATATATACATATATAATAATACTATAAATAATACATATATAATAATAATAATAATAATTAAATATAAAAAATATATATAAATATCATATAAAATATACATATATAATAATCATATATAATATATTAATATTATATATATATACATTATATATATATATATAATATTATATATATATATATATATTATATATATATATATATATATATATATATATATATATATATGTCATGCCGAACAAGTAAAACTTGCGATTTTGGCTTAAATAGCAATGCTCTTCTTGGCGAATAAGACAAGCGAAAATTTGGGTATGCTATAATTTCCCAAGAATCATTCTGGACCTAACAAAAAAATATATTTCATTGTGTTTGTTTATTACTAAATTATTGTAAACTTATCAAGAATATATTTAGTTGGATTAGGTTAAACCCTTTCACTGTCATTGCACTTGTTATAATAAGGTTATTTAAGTTTCCTAAGGTTCTTTTGGTACAAAAATTATTTTTTTTAATTAATATAAATGATATATATATAATGATATATATTTATATATATATATATATATATATATATATATATATATATATATATATATATATTATATATATGTATGTGTGAGGTGTGTGTGTGTGTGTGTGTGTGTGTGTGTGTGTGTGTGTGTGTTAGTTGTGTGTGTGTGTGTGTGTGTGGTGTGTGTGTGGGTTGGTGTTGTGTGTGTTGTGTGTGTGGGTGTGTGTGTGTGATGTGTTTGTGTGTGTGATCTTAAAACGTACAAGAGAAAATTTTTAGTACAATTTTAAATGAGGTCTTACTAAATGAACAATTTTATCTACTCGGCACGACATGTATATATTTACAGAATGGCCACTTTAATAGGTACACCTTTCTAGTGCTGGGTAGTGCCCCACTTTGCCACCAGAGCAGCCTGAATTTTTCGTGGGACTCGACAAATTGCTACAAATATTCCTTTGATAGATCTAGTTCATGTTAATATGATAACATTACGCACTGGCTGCAGATATGTCGGTTGCACATTCAAGCTGCTAATTTTCCGATTCATCACATCGTAAAGGTGCTCTATTGGATTGCGATCTGGTGACTGGAAGTCATTAAAGTACACTGAACTCGCTGTCAGGTTACTGGAAACAGGTTCAAGAACAAAGACGAGCGTATATTAAGACAGTTCAAATAGGAACTTAAGTGATGATGTTCAACGTTGCACTATTTACGATAATATAGCTATCTCCCCTGTATAGTTTCGTACTTAGTTGACTTCTTTTGGAAGTGCATGCATGTAAGCATAATCTGCATGTCAACAGTACCTGTCAGTCAGCCTTCACCTGAGGTAACAAGTCTCCACCATATGTTCTTGTAGCCTTTATACTCTTTTATTGTCATTATTTTTTATATCAAAACTGTTTTTTAATGTCTTGCATTCCAATGTAATATTTTATATTTCCTAACGATGAGTGATCACCTAAGTCTTATTGTTCCCATATATAATATGGTACTTCCTATAATGTATGCACGGACGTGCGTGCACACATTTTATAAATAATTCTCTTCCATCTTACAAGTTCATGAGAAAAAGCAACACCCCAGGCAGGGTGCAAAACATTAAACAAGCAATTCTTGACACGAGGGGACCACAGGGGTGAATAATATAGGGGGAGGGGGAAACTTTGACAGTCACCTGGATGGAGTATTGACTGGCGCCCGGTGAAGGGGAGAGCATGGAGGTCACAACACTGCGTCATACACAACACATGAGCCTGACAAGAATAGTATTGTGATTTATATCAATAAAACTCCAAATGTTATGCGGAGCGAACCACTTGACTATACAAGGTACTCACACGAGTTGTTGAAGAGGTTGTGTTTTTACCATATTCAGTAGTTTCTGAACTCCTCATATTTACCAATAATTATTATTTTCTTCCATATCCTGGGTAGTTAATCTACGCTATATGATAATTAAAATATTCAAGCATATAATTCAGATTAAAAAAACGTAATTACTTTTAAAAAAAATTCTAAACCACTTTTACATGAAAATATTTGAATATACGTTGCCCTAATCACTAATGTAAATTTTCACTGAAACTCGTAATACAAGAATATACACACAGCAAACAATAACTTGAATACTCTTGTGTATGCAGATTAAGAAGTCCAGCATGACATTACCAAATATACTAAGAAAATGGTCAGAGCATACGTTATGTGAAAACTATTAAACCAGAGTGCAAACTACTAGTTTACAATAAAAAAAATAGAATCGTTAAAAATAAAGAAGAAATTCAAAGATGTCAACAAGGCAGAACCCGAGGACAAAGGCAACTCAGGGAGGTCGCGCTAATGGCCAAATTCCTATTTACAGCCTCAAGCCGAGTGGAAACATCTAGGAGTGGAGTCTCTTGCAATGTCTTCACGCTTCTCACCATCTTATCCAGAGTGACAAGAAAATGAATCGCTCGTTAGACGCAGTGGTTTCTCCAATGTCATACCCTCGATGTGGTTTTACCGAGTCTAAATGCGACTTGATAAATACAGAACATACCAGGTAAGTTTTAACACATATCAATAAAGATTTGATTGTCACATTGTAGCTTTGGTGATGTTCCTGCACATTAGCATACAAACAATTTCTTAAGACGCTATCAACCCAGGAATATTTCACTGGTCGCATAACTTTTAATAACAAAGTACATTTACTGCAAGCCTATCCACCAGAGAAACCATAAATAAAATATTAGCTAACCAAATATAAATATTTTAGCTACTGATTATACCATACGTCTATATTTATGAACATCCACATGTTCACTTCCAGTGACATCACCATATATAAGGTCATGAAAGACAAAGACTAAAGAGGATTTTTTTTTTCGTACAACAGAGATAACAAGACGCCGCGGATGAAAGCTGAGAAAAGAATGAAGCCAAAAAGATACTAGGATTTTTTTCTTCTTTGCACTGTGGTCGAATGGAATAAATTAAGGAGAATGTAGCAAGTGTTACAACAACTGAAAATTAAACAAAAGATATATGAACAAATTATGAATGTTTTTTCAAACCATTCATCACAACTGTCAGACACTGCAGCATCATGGGATCTTGTTACAAAGAATTCTTCAACACTTGTTCAACCTTTGGACGAAGACCTACTTCGACTAGTGGATGGTACCACTATGACCCCGCCTCCGCCTGCTTCACCTCGCCTCACTACAGTATATAGCCACGTCTACGGCCCTATGCTGTACATTCTACAAGATTGATGGACTGAACACATCGACTCCAGGCTGAGGGACTGATTACCTCATACTCCTCCTCTCCTTACGCCTTCCTCTTTGTATTGGACTGATGAAGCCACTGTGTGGCGAAACGTTTCCTGAATAAAGATTCCCATATGCTGCATAAGTGTCTCAATCTTCAACTTGTCGGTTTTTCAAACCATTCATCACAACTCTGACTTGTAGCTACAATAAGTATATATCTCATCAATGGTCCAGCTCACTCTATATATTTTGAGGGTAATGAACATGAATTAACTCACTCTGAACCCTTGTAGTGAAAGAAAAAAAAAAGCTTGTTTCTTGGATCTTGACCACTTCAAAATTTGAAGAGGTGTGGATCCGAGGACCGAAACGTTTTTAATGAGCCTTGGACAGGTGTGAATTCTTTCACGTCCACTTTCCTCACGTTGTCGACAGTCATTTATTTGCCTTCTTATTACACGGAGTGTTTTAGTGTCAGCTAATTATATCAGGTAAACAATCTCTCACAGGTCTCCACAGGAAGACTAAAGGCGTGATATCAGGGAAGCGTCGGGGTGAGGTGGGGGTCCCAATTAATGAAACCATCACATTCATGTCAGGGAACTTCATGTTGCGATCCTTATGTTATTATATGCAAAGAAATGCATTTTATGCTACAATATTGCTGCAACAATTTTTGAAATGGGAAAAGGACTTTATTGACAGTCCAGCCCGCCCCATCCCCCATGAGGGTCATGAAGCGCTTGGGGAATAAAACGTATTCAGAGTTTTATTCAGGTAATGAGGGTAACTCCAGCATATTGAATCAAGAGCCCACCACAAACATCAAGGCACTTCTTAAAAGGTTGAGAGGCTACAGCGTCAAGTATGAGTGGTTGGTGAAGGAAGCTACGTAACCCAAGGCGTCCAAAACTTAGCTCATTACGTTTTTCTTGTAAAAATGTGTTACGTGCGTAATGTTCCCTTACATCAGAGGTTAACGTATAACAACATACATATGAACAAGTCAGTAACGTTGATGAAACAATTCATAACCAAGAAATTGGAAAATAAAGTTTCAGTTCATCCTGCACCATTATCAAGTAACCTAATAATGGTAGAGGACCGAGAGAAATGTCTATTTGTATGTGCAATTGGTTAATAAGACACTATGCGGTTTATGGCATTTTACTGAGAAAACTATTCTAATTAATAAAGTGCCTGGTGGATGGGACGTCTTACCAATAAAATGGTAAAAAACGTCATAATGTATCTTATATTAACATATGGACATTCAATGAGTTAAGAGAAGTGAAGCTGTGCGTAGTTAATATTACCTGAGTTGGTGAGGTGAATGGTTGGGTTTGGGTCAAAGGTGACGGTGGGTCTTTCAGGCTTGGTGATGACCGTGTCGCTGTCCATGTTGTGGTTCTTCCCGCCGCCCACACCCGAGCCTGCACCCGCTGCCGCTACAGCAGCGGCCAGTGCCGCGCCTGCTGGGGGCGGCGGGGCGCTGCCGTTGGGCTCAGAGGTTCTCACTGCTACGCCTGCACTCACCTCCGTGTCACTCAAGTCAATAATGTTAGAATCCTTCATGATAACCATGGTGGTAAGTCTCCCAGTACACAAGTGTTCGTATTAGTGGCAGGTACACCACAAGTATACACTTTACATTGTGGCACTGTTTTTAACTGCCACAGAAAATGTTCGCCGAACGTAACCCTCGCCACTTCACTTATAATTTGTTATACTAAAAATACACAAATATCGACTAGGTCTCTAAAAATTAATTTATAAAACAATGTTACCGATACGTATTAAAACACGACATACAAGGTTTTTTCATGTTCTCATATCCATACATATACTCGCAGATTTATTTGTATGCAGCAGACCCGCAGCTATCTGCCTTTAGGGATCTGTCATACCTCTTCATTACATTGTGGTGTATGGAATTTCTCTACCACACAATGATTAAAAAGTATTATCTAACATTCCTGTAGCTCATCTGTTCTTAGTTTCTATGAGCTTCGTGGCTAACGCGTCGGTCTGGAGTTTTACACTCACCGCGAGTTCAAATCCCCACCCATACCTTGGTTCGTTGTCCCTGCCCCGCTCATCCCAATATTTCTATTCACGTTGGTACAAGTACCCAGTACAAAAAATGCACAACTGTTTAAGACACGTACAAAACACTCAAGACTTTTAATTAGAATACGTATCACACGCTGGGGGAGAGAGCATTGCATACGCGGCTTTATTAAACACTCCATTCTTATCAATTCCGAGTAGTATAAGGTATAGAGAGATCTGTGGTTATCACTTTAATAGTACTAGTTAGGTTCAGATAATTCCCTTTCACAGTGTTCTTTGACTAACTTGGGTACAACATAGGAACATAATCAACGAAGGGTAATGATCCATGCTAGGCATCTCCAACTCGCATCTTCCTATTCCTATTCAAGTATTTGTCTAATCTACTTTTAAAGCTACTCAATGACACTGCCTGGAAATTTATTACATTAATCTAACACTTGTCAAACTAGGGTTTTCCTGCGTATTTCTAAATATAAATTTGTCAAGCATGAATCCACTATCCCTATTTCCGTCCTGAAAACTTGTTGTAAGATTTGGACTATGTCGATGTTGAATAATTCATATGTAACGTACGTCTGACTAATGATGGAATTATCTGAAGACTGTCAGTTTTCTCATATGCTGCCGGAATTATGCACCTGACACGACCCTTCAGCTGATGCTTGTGTAGTATTTCATCGATTATGTAGGATTCTTTCTTCCGGGATTGCATGTACATTATCTGCTTTCCTTTCCTTTCCTCTTCCCTGACCTACATGACTCTGCAACTATATAGTTTAACTCAGCAGCTACTTGTCTGACCATCTTGTAAACAAAGCTCACTCATAGTATCTACATTCAGAACTGTTCCTGTTTTTTGCTGGTTGTACATAGTCGCAAATAGTGTGTGTGTGTGTGTGTGTGTGTGTGTGTGTGTATAAAAACGTGTGCAACGTTAGGTAACTTCATTAAGGAAAAAGTTACGGCCGCCAGGAGACTTCATCAGCCTTTAATAATGTTACCTAATGTTGCACACGTCTATCGTCTCTCTTGTATTTCTGTGAGTATAATATAACTAGTTAGAAAGTCGCAGACAGCAGTGTGTGGGGGAAGCGGTGTGTATGGTGTAGGCTCTTGTGCCCACAAATTCACAACTGTTTGTGGGGTTTCATTTTCAGCTCCTGCTGACCTAGTCTCCTATCCGAAATTGGCCAGCATTACCGGTTTCTGGTCTCTTGAACCTTACCATACTCTCCAAATAGTGTAATTTGCCCTAAGGGAAAAGTGGATTTAAATAACTTCCAGCTTGGTCCGCCACTTTACCGTATTTGTATATATTAATCAAAATCCAAATAACAGGCAATGCAGGTAGACCTATTATTAGCTGGGTTGGGTCTGTATCCTACTGTACAAACTGTCGAAATGTTAGTCTTGACTGCTGTTGTAGTCAAGGGGTAAGATTCGCATGTAGGAAACAGAACTAATTTTTTTCTTTAGATATGATTAATAATTAAAAATTAGTTACTTATACTGTGACAATTTTGTTCATTATAGTAGTCTACCTGTGGAAGATCTGTTAGACATTCTGAAGAGAAATTACAATGAACGTGCTATCACATTTCTGTCTGAAATAATCAACGATCTTCAAACTTCGCATTTTACATCGTAAATTTTCTTTTAACGACAACTTATACTACACAACCAAAAATATACAATGACTTTGGGAAACATTATTAGTCCCGTGTATGAAGGATTTTTTAAAGCAATACTCGTAAGGAACAATTTACCCACCAATTCCAAGTGGGACGGTTAGATGGATGATGCCTTGTGCTGTGGCCAGTAAATGTGAATACTGATGTCATCTTAGATTGAATAAGTGTCCATTTTATTACATGTGTATGTGTATGTATTCGTGTGGGTATATGATAAAACGAGAGTAGAGCTGAACCCAGTCGAAGACCACTAGTATAACATAATACACTCTCACTGTGATACTTGGTAGGTGATTTTGAGAGTTAAGAGACTGACAACCCTTCAGTGCCTGAGACTTGTTTTCTGGGAGGTTCTTCTGTTTATATCACAGAGATCGATAGACTGGTCTTAAAACTCAAGGTCATCCGCCTGTCAAAGGACAAATAGACCACAACGTCGTCTAGAAATAATAAATATTTTAAATTTTGCTTAATTTAACATTTTTTGGGATATTCAGATAAAAATAAAATATCTTCTGACCAAGTGAGGAAAGTAAAAATTTACAGGGTGTGGATCTTGAAGGGCTGTTTAATACTGAAGCTTGATAGTCCATTTTCTTAATGGTCCAGAGGAGTGTGATACTAAAAAAAAATGTACGAATAATCTTAGCCAACTGCAGAATACAACCTAATTTTCTTTAGGTTTGAAGTCGACTTAAAGAGGCATTCTGTGGCTATTGCACTGACTCCAACAATTCCAATAATATTACCCATGTTGGTAAATTGTCACATTTACACCCCACAGATCAACATTATTCCAAGCCTTCCTCTAAGTAATATACACCAGTATCAAAGTTACGAAGCCGATCAGAACTGGTCGGTATTCTGCAGTTATTGAAGGAAAATGGAAATATCACAATTTGCTTAACAAAACTGGTAAATTGATACCAGCGCAATCTAATAACTCGAACAAGTAACACAAAGCAAGAAAAATA